TAAAACCTACAGAAAAAAATATGTAAGAAATAAGGTAGGAAGGACTTGTTCTTCCAGATAGCAAGATAGTCTAAAACTACAGCAATTAATATAGTCTGGTGTACATACAAGTATAAACGAACTGATCAATGTAAAAAAAATAGATTTCTTTTTTAAACAATAGCCTAAGTGGGTACTTGAATGTAATGAAGGAGAGAACACAAGCATACTGGGAAAGTGCTGAAGCAACTGGACATCCATGCAGGAAGAAAAGGTGGACTGCAGAGGGAACATGAAAGGCAAAGCAATAACAGCTTCTAGAACATAGGAAAATATCTTCATGCTTTAAGAGTCAGAAAAGTTTTCTTAAACAGGACACCAAAAGGACCAACCATAAAGGAGAAGGCCTGATAAGCTGGACTAAATTAAAACTAAGAACTTGTGTTTTTCAAAAGATAAGAGAGGAAAATTTTCCAGGCAAGCCACAAATTAGGAGAAAATATCTGCAACACACATAACCAAAAGAAGAGAACATATCCAGAGTATATAAAGAACCTACACATCCTCGAATGGAAGGTGCTTAATAAAAAACAAAAACTCATACAAATGTATAAGAAAAAGGCAACTCAAAAGGGAAAGAACAAATAAAAAATGGGTAAGAGACCCGAACAGACAGATAATACACAAAAGAAAATGGCTAGTAAGCCAAAACCACTTGATAAGGTGCTGAATCTCATCAATAATCAAAACCACAACGGAATACAACTACACACTCACCAGAACAGCCAAAATTAAAAACACTATTAATAGCTAAGGATGTGGAGCAAGTGGAATGCTTATGCACTGCTAGTGGAAATGCAAAGTATTCCAAGTACAATCACTTTGGACAACTGTTTGACAATTTCCAGTACAGTTAAATATACACCCATTCTGTAACCCAGGAACACATGCGCACGCACACACACAAACACACACACACACACACAAATTTATGACCTATATTCCATTTGGGTATATACCCAAGAGAAATGATGGTAGAAATACGTCTACCAAAAGGCAGGTATAAAATATACACAGCACTTTATTCACAAAGCCCCAAACTGGGACAGTATGTGTGTAGTATATTCACACAGTGGCATATTACATAGCAATAAAAAAGTCCAAAATACTCATACATGTACCAACATGGATCTCAAAAATATACTAAGTGGAAGAATTTAGACACAAAAGGACACATAGTGTTTAATTCTATTTATACTAAATTAAAAAACAGGCAAAACTATGCCTTAGTTTTAAAACCATCTCCATAGTGTTGGACGCTAGAATAGTAGTTATCTTTGCAAAAGGAGGACAGGGTAATGACAGATAGGGCACAAGTGTGGTTTCTAGAAATCTTCTATTTCTTGACTAAGGGTGATAGCTAGATGCACAGATATTTGTTTTGTGAAAATTGATAGAGCTGTACCTTTATTTTTTGTTTCATTTTCTTTACTTGTACAATATTTTATAACGAAAAGTTTAAATACAAACAGCTCTGTAAGAATTTTTATACCTAGCTACACACTAGTCCAATTATAGCATATAACCTATTAGTTTACATCACAATTTGAAACTAAATTCAACTCTTGAGCTTACTCCAGGATAAGTCTCAGCAGCCAAACCATATACAGTCCAAAAGGAGCCAGTACTGTTAGATACAACATAGCTACATCCATTTGAGAAGACCTTGGTAACATCTGATCTCAGGACTAAGGGGTGGTGGTGTTTAGAATAAAAGATTAGCATGAGATTCCACTTTTTTTTTCTACCTTTCTTGCCTCATGGGAGGGACAGAAAAAACTACTCCCATTACAGGGACAGTTAGGCCTTCCCAGACGCTTGGTCCACATCTAGCCTGAGAAGCTATGGTCCTAGTGTCCTGAGCTCAGTGGAGAACAGATGAGCACACTGAAGCTGTGTGTCCTCAGAGACACCAGCAATAGTAGCAGACACTTAATACCTAGATGTGGATGAGAAGACAGCAGCAAAAGGCAGGAAGATGCTGTGCCTTTCCTGGCTTAACTGCAACCATCTTTTCTGAGAATGCCTCTGCTGCCTATCTTTTTTTATTCAAACTCTATATGTCATATATGTCATTCTGTATGCTATATACTACACCAAAAATACACTGAGGACCAAAAGAGACATGGTTTCAGCCCCATGGCTGAAATACACCTGCATGACTATCTGGCAGACATCCTGAAGCTGGCAGTACACTGGACAATTCTTCACCGTGTTCTACGATCCTCTGTGTTACAGGACATCTGGCATCCCTGGTCTCCACCCATTGAAGGCAGCTGGTGTCACCACCCCACCCAGTCATTGTAACAACTAGAAACACAGTTTTTAATTGACCTGTCAAGAACAACTGATGTTAGATAAAGTAACTCAGTATGCAGTCAATGGCAAATTAATGTTCTTAAGTCATTTTGTCCTATCTAGACAAATACTATTTTTAACTGTTATGTCAGATAGCTGAAGGCTATCTCAGAGGAATAAGAAAATGAGTCTCTGGCTTAGACTCAAACATCAAAGCATGTAACAGGGCCTTTCCCTTTGTTCTCTATCATAACACTCCATTATTCCTAAATAGCACTTTTCACTATTTACAATTACGCTGTATGTTTGAGTGTTGATCAGGAGTTCAAGACCAGCCTGGCCAACAAAGTGAAACTCCGCCTCTACTAAAAATACGAAAAATAGGCAGGCATGGTGACACATGCCTGTAGCCCCAGCTACTCAGGAGGCTGAGGCAGAAGAATTACTTGAACCCGGGAAGCAGAGGTTACAGTGAGCCAAGATCACGCCACTGCACTCCAGCCAAAAGACTTTTAGTGTGCTAGTATCTGTATGTTTATATATGAATGCACCTACTTTATTATAAATTACTTTTATTTCTTACTTATATTCCATTTACAATATCATATTGATTTTTCTAAATGTATAAGTAAATTCAAGTATCTCTGAATTTTATTTCAGGATAGTAAAGAAGGCATTGTAAGATATTGGTCACAGGTCTCTGTATCAGGTCTCAGAAGGTTGAGAATATTGGTCAGAGTTCTCCATTAGACAGTAAGTTCCTTAAGGACACAGGCTAGGTCTTACATTTATCTATCTTTCCCTTGGTACCTGCTATAGCAGCTTCAACAAATAAAAAAGTATTTGTTGATTTACTGTAAGCACACAGAAAAATCACACCAATCAGCAAAATTCTCTGAGCTCTCATTTTCCGGGACTACAAATACTATTCAATAAACTGTAGGAACCTCTTCTCTTCACAGTCGAAAAAAGTTGTTAGTTTCGCTATGATTTACTGCGTCACTACAATGAGATGATCTAACAAACTGAGCTTTCTTTAAGGTAAGTAAATAAGGTGACAAATTACCTAACACAGCATAGAGCTTTTTAAAATTCTAAAATGCTTAAGAATAGGAAGAAAGGTTATGTTTAAGTATTTTTGTCACCCTGGTCCCCTTCCAGCATCCTCAGTGAATTACACCATCACGTAACCAATTTTAAAACCCCAAAACCTAGATCATGGTTGACAACTTCCTCACTATCCCATCCAATCAACTAAAAAGCAAGTCTTGCCAGTTTTACTTCCTAATCATGGGAAATTTTTCTAATAGGAAAACTCTGTCTCTACCACTGGCACCCTGGTCCAACCTACCATCATCTCTGCTTGTACTACTATAAGAGCCTCATGACTTGTCTATGAGACCTCCAAATTCATTCTCCTCCAATCAATCCTCATAATCACACTATGAGGTTGCTATCATTATTGTCATTTTGGAGATGAAAAAACTGCAACATAAAGAGACTAAGAAAATTTCAAATTTACGCAGCTAGCTAAGGGCAGAGCTAGAAATTAAACCCAGATTTGTTTACTCTAGTGCGCCTTATATTTTTCACCACGTGGTACCCCCCCAGCCTTAATTATATTACCCCAGGACTACTATTCTGAATAATAATCATTCTCCTTATTACGGTTTGGTAAATAGAGTCAGAGAAACAGGAAACTTAATTACATAAGTCCTCATGAATACTTTAGTATACTCCGGAAATCTCTGATGTCCTCTTATTGCCCTATGACTCCTTAATCTTACAAGTCTTCTGGTTGAAGGTTAAAGCTGGTTTTCAATTAAGTGAGGGTCTGCTATTATATGCTAATAATAATAATTCCAAGAATATTTCAACATCTGTTTTTGAAAAGTCTTGAAATAAATCAGCAATTTTTCTTTTCATTACGTTGCCTAATTGAGCAAGATACTAAGCTACATATAAATGTTAACAGAATAAATGAAGCTATTATGAACAACAAAAAGGTTGTCCTCACTACTGCGGCAATACGCAATATGTAATAAGGATAATCAACACAAAACTATAAGGGGGCCAAATGCTGGCTTGCCTACAACTAAGAGATAACAGTAAACAAACAAACAAACAAAAAAGCACAAAGTCCACAAATTGGTGACATAATCATGCAGGTGAACTGACTTAGAAAACTGCAATTGCTGCATTATAAACAGCATAAGCACTGTGAGAGCTGCTAGGAGACCATTTCATTTATCTATCCTTCCTTAGGGTAGTGAAAGATGGGATAGTAGGAAACGTAAGGTGGGCCCCAGTGAGCTCTGCTTTACTTCCAGAGAAATAGCTCACCCTCTGTCCTCTTTTTACATAGTCCAAAAGCGCAAAAACATGATGAGTTTTAAAGTACTAAGCCTGGTACATTTATTTCAACAGCTGACAGGTAATTTTTTTTTTTTAATGGCAAGACAGATCAAATCTAACACAGTATCTCCGCTTTGTTGCTCATTTACTAGGGAAAACAACGTAAATCCTAGCGGTAAGTGCTTTTGCAAGCAAGGAGGTTATTTGGAAGAGTAATTCTGAACACTTAGATTTGTTTTAAAATTCTACCTTCACAGAAACTTTCCCTAAATGTTAGAAAACAGGCCTACATGAGATGAGCTTCATACCGTAAGGCTTTTCTTCTGTTACCTTCCCCGTAGAATCTAGTGTATCAGTAGCTTTCCCCAGTTCTCCAATGGCAATATATCTCTAGAGGAAGGGAAACAAGAGAGAAAATGGGCGATAAGCAAAGAAATACTGTTATGCATGTCTTGAAGTTTATACAGAATTTTACTAATACTACCAACCTGATACCAAATAAAGGCTAAAATAACAGACTGCAATGGTTTTGTTTTTAATATGTGGAAAGCAATTGTGTAAACTGAAGAGCATTCACAAACGTCGCACACTAGCCAATATGAGAAAGAAAAACCTGATTTTATTGATAATTATGGCTTAATAATTATGACCGTCACTATTGTAAACAAATTTCTCAAACCACCTTTATACTGAGAAGTTTGTTTAAGGAAAATTTTCAAGTCTATCCATGAGTAGAGAGAATGGTACAATAGCCCTGACCCCATGGCCATGTTAAGTTTCAAGAATCTTCCCACACATATAATTAAAATTAACTTTAAATAAACCAACTTAGTACTTCTTACATGAAATACTAAGACAATTCTTAGTAACTAGGTCATGCATTTAAATAAAAGTTAGATCTGTAGAAAACACAGAGTTAGTGACTTCACTATTACATGTGGGTTTTTTGTTTTGTTTTGTTTTTGTTTTTTTACGATGGAGTTTTTGCTTGTTGCCCAGGCTGGAGTGCAGTGGCCCCTGGGTTCAAGCGATTCTCCAGCCTCACCCTGTGGAGTAGCTGGGATTACAGGCACCCACCACCACACCTGGCTAATTTTTCGTATTTTTAGTAGAGATGGGATTTCACCATGTTGGTCAGGCTGGTCTTGAACTTCTGACCTCAGGTGATCCGCCCGTCTCGGCCTCCCAAAGCCAAAGTGCTAGGATTACAGGCGTGAGCCACTACGCCCTGCTATGTGTTTTCTTAATAAAGATAAATTACTACTTAAGATCTCAGGAACAAGAATCATTTCTAAGAACCGATCTTTATTCACAAGTGAAGAATTAGATCATTCTTGGTTACGTGAGGACTGTCTTATTTCTCATCTTAGGACACACTTGTAGTACACATTCTTTTCACTACTCTCTTTTGGTCAAACGCAAATTTTATTTGGGGCATCACATGAAGCAGTGAAAAAAGTGCAAGAATCTATTTCCCACTGAAAATAATCTGTATTTATGTGAGCAATTTTATAAAAGAAAGTTCAAAGTACTTTGCAGACATACAAGCTTATTAATGACAAATTTATTAGGCTAGTGAAGGGACCCAACACAAAAATGAGAAAAATGTTAAAACTTCAAGACCTCATAAATATGCAGACATTTTATAACAGCTTAAGGGTCTTTGATGAAATCACCTTAATATTATATAGCTCAGATTTTTTAAAAAAATAAATGTAACACAGAAGGCAATATTTCAACACATTTGAATTAATTTTTTTAAAGTTTCATAGGTATTGACAAAAACTAGTTTTTTTGTAACTAAACACAGCTCATCACCTGAGACACCCATTCCTGCTTCTGTATTTTGGGACAATCAACCTTGATTAAGCATACCACAGGGAGAAGTACGAGAGGAGGACAACAATGGTAAAAGCACAGGCCCAGGGTCAACTGGCTGGGTTTGAATTCTGACTCTACCACAATTTGTAGAACAAGTTAGTCTTTCCTGCTGGAGCTTAATTTCCTTATCTTAAAATGTGGAAAATAATAATGCCTCATGAGAAGCAGCAAAGAGTTTAGAGCAACAATATCTAGCCCTGGTAAATAACAGATAATAATACCATCACCATTTTTATTTTCTAAGAAAGAAAATATTGAATGATTCACAGTAACACTAGCTAGAGTTGACTCACCTGGTTACAGTGAGTTCCCATAAGGAAAGCAAAGCATCAAAAAGTTTCATGATTTTTTTGCCTTCAGAGTCTGTTTAGTTGCATAAGAAAACCACAGTGCAATCTTGCAGACTGAGCCTTGAAAGTATCTGCACTATCCCGCTCTGTAACAAGATTGAACTAGGAAACTTAACATGTTTCCCAAGTATGCAATGCCCATTCTAGTCTCTGGACTCTTGGTGTTTTGTGCACCTGGGGCACATATGCCACTTCCCTGGCCTTGAACTCCCTTTCTTCTCTAAGGATCAAACCTTATTCAGCTTTCAGAGCCACCCCTTAATCCATCCCAACTTCCAATTACCCACCTCCACAGCATGACTGAGAGTAGGTGCTCGATACAAATTCCGTACATAGAAAGAAGGAAGGCCCATATCAAATTCACAAATTCAATCATGTTTCTTAAGGACTATGAATGTCCAAAGTAGTCTCCTAAGTGCTAGGGAAGGACACACAGATACATAAGATAGAGTCCTCTCCCACTAAGAGGTTACGGTGTAACAGGAAGACTTCAATAAAGACAACTACTGCAGATGGGACTGGGTATAATGGCAACAACAGACATTTCTGGTTTATCTCACTGAGCTCTCATATCACATGGCTTAGCACATGACGACCTATAGAGATATTCACTGTTTTCCAAGTATATTTTATTGATCCTTACTTTCTTGAAGTATGAACTCTTAGCTAGAGTTTCCCACTGCTGTTCTATTGTGTTCTTTACTAGATAGAAACACAGTAGCAGCTTAATAAAAAGTTGCTGACAGAATGATACACATGCTAGAGAAGTGCCTATGTGTGCAATTCTTCACATTTCACCATAGTTTTGAATATCTAGATTTTATCTGCTAAGTCTCAACCCATTCCAGGGTCTGCAATTATAGTGTATGTAGCTACGTGTTGGATTCTTTTTAGGGGAGACAATATCTAAATCAACATTCTTAAATCAAATCAAAATGTTCTCAAACATTTTGGTTTCAGCGCCCCTATACACACTTAAAACTTATTGAGAAACCCTGTCACACATTTTTTTTTAAATGTATCTGCCTAGATTTATTGTGTTATAAATTAAAGCTGAAAATGTTTAAAACTTCCATTAGCCATCACAGCAATGATACCATGGCACATCTAGTAACCTCTGAAAAACTCTGTCATGTATTTGTGGGATTGCAAGTTAAAAAGGCAAAACTATGAAAATACTTTCAATTTCAACAGGCACCCTGAAAGAGCCTCAGGAGTCCTTAGACCACACCCTGTGAACCGATTATTGAAATCATAGCTGTTTCCTAGCTTTCCCTTGTCCTGGCATCTAGTAATAATTATCCTTCAATTTTATTCAATTATCCACAAACCACTTAGAAAAATTCACCCACACAGTTAAGCCTCCAGCTGAAACAAAGTCTCACGACCAAAAAGATACTGGGATAGAAGAAAAAAGGCATGGAGATGTACACATTCAACCCTAACATTTTATCTTGTGGAGTCTAAAATATTTCTTTTCACTGGCTTAAATTCTAAATAGAGTCTGTGCTTTAGAGCTATTAATTCTCCAAGACGTGTATCTGGGAATTGTGAGTTCTACTACTGTATTCATTACAATGTAATTCCACTGCACCAAAGAGAGGTCCTGAAGAACATTCCATTGACCTGTGTACTCTCTGGGACTCATAGTTTCTCACTGATATTATTCTACTCTCTACTTTACTCATCTTCAAGCTCCCTGAACCCCACAGCAGATATGAGCTAGACATCTCTAGCAGCAAATCAGCTTCTGTACTGTTTAGGAGAAAGAAAAATGTTTCTATTACAGAAAGTATACACAATCATTTCCTTGGATCTCAACTGAGGTGTGATTTTGAAAGCTTGTGATTTAAAACTTCACCAACAAAATAGGGATATTACTGAGGATGGGAAAGAACACTTTTTTAAAAACCTGTCAAACCAAAAACATGTGGCTTTGAATGTCTTCAATAAGAAGGAACAGTTCTTTTTTATAGTTCATAAGTATAAGCCCTTTAAAATTTTCAATACAGTATTTCTGAAATATATGAATATTAATAGAGTATATAGAAAAGGTACAAACTGGACTAGCCTCTGGAGAAGACTGATTAGAAATTCTGAAATCTTCAAGAGTTGGCTAAGTTTCATAGGAGCATTATTCAAGTCACACTATAGAGTTCTCATAACTGGTTAACCTAAAAATGTTACTGTGTTCTTGGGGAAAGTTACTATCCTTTGACCACACCAAAAAGGGGAAACTTCATTCACTCCAATGATAACACTTGTTTAATTACTGGAGGCGGATACAAAGTTGCCTTCTGAGGAAATGCTGGCTTTGCCTGCAGGTGCCACTATGGTTTACCTGCACAGAGATATGGAGGTACCTTTATAACTGGACATACTAGTTAGATTCTTTGGGTTTTCATAACCTTTCCATCTGGTTTCTAAAGCATTTATAAAGTAACCAACTTTGATCAACAATATAGAAAACTAATAAAGACAGCACTCCAAAACCTCATCAAAGTCTGTTCCTTCAAAGTACAACATCTGGTATCCAGCTTTTGCTAAATGACTGGCTCAAAGAAAGTGTAATTTAGGGAAGATAGGGGAGGGACTACTGCCCTCCTCTAGGTAAGCTACATTTTATACTTAGATCAACTTAGGCCAAAGGAACACATCAGACTAACCTCTCAGAATAATTTTACCTAAACTGTATTTTACGCAGCTCCATGTCTACATCTGTTGTAAAACTATTTTTGAAAATCGCCGTCATTTAATATCCCTTATTGTCAAAAACTTCTGAGTTTAATGTCCAAGGAAACTCTGTCTCTCCCTTAAAGAACTGGCATGCTTTCTCTTTCTGATGAGTGTACTATTTTTCCTACGTCACCAGTGATCTCAAAAAGCAATGAAAAAAAATGAAGTTAACTGTATTCAAGAGTTCCAACAGAACTCGCCTGAGTAAAATTAATTTCAGGAGTCTACAGAACATGTAGCGAGAGAGATCCAACAGGCCTGGACCTCAAGAGAGAGATTGGGGGATAGGTAAAATACTTGGGAATAGTAATAACAGTATTTAATGAGCAATTTCTGTATACAAAGCACTGTACAAAAGCTTACATGCTTTTCTTACACATTATACACATAATACTAAATGATCAGACAGAGGGAAAAAAAGACTTGAGAAATATGATCACTGGTAGAACAAAGCTCACTCCAAGGCAGGAGAGGAAGACAATGAGGAACATAGGGCAGTGGCTCTTTTCTTAACTCTTACCCTGATCTGAATGGGAAGAAATGCAAGAAATGATTTGGGTGGTCTGATGAGTATCTGGTCTTCATAGATGGAAGCAAAATAATATGATGGCCTAAAGATTTTATTTAAAAGGCCAGAATTTCACCTAATAAGTGACAGCAGTTGTACGAAGTGGCACTATGTTGAAGAAGATTCTAAGGATGTTTCTTGATTCAGCAAGAAGAAATGTTAGGCCATGTTCAATTAGCGTATCTCCAATTAGGACTGGCTAGGGAGAGAAGGCTGCACTGTAAATACGGCCATAACAAGAACACTGAATATTTGCCATCCTAGAACTAAGTATTTCTACTCTTGATGTAACTCCATCCTACACATACCAGAAGTCTAATTTTACTAGTTGCACTGTGATGCAAATAAAAATTCATCTGTCAAAACAGGAAGTGAAGAAAAAGTGGACATTAGATTTGGGCCAAGTTAGGGGCTGCAGCCACCTTTTTTTTTTTAATGAAATAGAAGGAAAGGTATCAAGAATACACCATACATAGGGTTAGAGTTGGATAAAGTTTGGATGTCTGTCCCCTCCAAATCTCATGTTGGCATGTAATCCCCAGTGTTGGAGGGGGGGCATGGTGGGAACTGTCTGGGTGATGATACCGGATCCTGCACGAATGTCTTGGTGCCCTCCCTGCAGCAATGAGTTAATGCACGATCTGGCTGTTTAAAAGAGCCTAGCACCTCCGCCTCTCTCTCTCTCACTCCCTCTCTCACCATGTGACATGGCCACAAGTAGAAGCTTCCTGAGGCCCTCGCCAGAAGCAGATACCAGCACCACGTTTCTTGTGCAGACTTCAGAACCATGAGCCAAATAAACCTCTCTTCTTTATAAATTACCCAGCCTCGACTATTCCTTTACAGCAACACAAACAGACTAACACAAAGTTGTTTGATAAAATTTTTCCTTTTCATAAATGTATGTATCTATAGGGTCATTACATAAAATATGTCTCTTACTATGGGTCTTAGTCAAAAAAATTTTGAAAGTCACTAGGTAAGATGATCTCTAAGATTCCTTCCAGTGCTTTTAAAAAAAGAAAAAAATTTATTAACAGTTTTTAACTACTTTTTATTAAAAAATAGTCTTCATCATCACTAAACTCTTAATGATTTAGTTCTTTTAACATGTACATAAAACTAAAAGGATAAGAAATATAAATAGCTAACAAGACAATGATGCCTATTTTTGAAATGCAAAATACCTAAGAACTAGGTTTCTGTAACAAGATGCACCTGTGGTATTCTATTTATGTTACAGTCATCTGAGGATCAGTGATTTCACTGTATGACATTCAGGTTTTGTAGCTGAACAGCAAATTGGCTGTTATAAAATTTATACCTGAGTCAGTGATGTATTTACATTTTCAGTCATAATATTTCTGAAAATATGCCTGAAATTTATAAGTAAAATCTTTCAATAATATATAGTGCGCCTGTGTTTGTAGTTTGGGGAAGGAGGGGTGAACAATGAATATCTCAATGAACACAATATATTTTACCTTGGGAAAAAAAACCCAAATTCCTTAATGTAAACATAACATTTTTATTATTAACATAAAAGTGCCTTGTTTATTGTATAGATTTTAGAAAATGCCAAATAATGTGGGGAAAAAAAATCATCCATAATCCCAGATTAAAGTAAACATTGTTCATCTTTGGGAGTAAACAAATATTAAACAACTGGCAAAAACCAGTATCAGAAACAGATTCTAAACTCTGTGTGTCAGTATTTAAACACAATATACATATTTACTGAGAAACTGTCAAACGCCTTCATTCTAACACAATGTTTACACTCTAATTTTTCAACACCAATATTTTGAAGATTACAAAGCAAGCCACACTTCATTTATCAGAGGTACTAAGATTCCTTCCAATTGAATGGCACACAGATTTTTATGCCAGTTGATAACCAAAATGAGATATCACATGCAGTATGTTCTCCAGGGCTTTTTAAAATCTATCAATCAATCTACGTATCTATGTACCTATCTATCTACTTACCTACCTACCTTACTTATTATTTATTGAGATGGAGTCGTCTCACTCTGTCACCCACGCTGGCGTGCAGTGGCATGATCTTGGCTCACTGCAACCTCCGCCTCCTGGGTTCAAGTGATTCTCCTGCCTCAGCCTACCAAGTAGCTGGTATTAAAGGTGTGCAGCACCACACCTGGATAATTTTTTTGGTATTTTTAGTAGAGATGGGTTTCACCATGTTGGCCAGGCTGCTCTCAAACTCCTGACCTCAAGTGATCTGCCACCTTGGCCTTTCAAAGTGTTAGGATTACAGGCATGAGACACCACGCTCGGCCAGGGCTTTTATTTTTAATACTTAAACCACTACTATGTCAAGTGTTTTCCACAGGCCAGTATCTATAATAAGTTCAGAAAATGAGATTGCGTAGAAACTTATTTAGCAATTTTACATTGCCATAATATTTTAATTATATTTTACAAAAGTCATCAATCAGTCCGCAATGAACTGAAAATTGTTTTAAATAGTCTTTGACTACAGATTCTTTTAAAGAAACAAAAGTCATTTTATCAATAATTTATATTACATTTAGAGCAAGAGTTTTAAAACAAAGTTTATTCCAGGAACATAATGAAATTTTTTGCTACCTCTTGGCATACTAATCTTCCTTGCACATGCATTTTCATTGGCCCTTAGTCTCAGCACTTATAACCAGTACCTAATTACTCATATGGATACAGACATTATCTCTTTGACAGCTGGAAGAGACCCCTTCTACCAGCAGTTCACAGCTTTCCAACCACTCCTGCCTCCAAATAACCCCTTCTCTCTTCTATCAAATGCCTAGAAAAGTGCTTTTGGATCTAGTCAAGGTTACTCTCATACATGAACATACTTTTTCATCTTAAAGAGGCCCTACTCTTTTCTTTAATAAACATTTTATAACCAATGAACAAAGTATATTTTTGCTAAAAGGGCGCAGGTTTACAAAATGGTATTGTTTCTATAAAAATTCTAAGGTTTAAAAAAGTCTGCTCCACTAGCATTTATGATCTCTAAGTCCCAAACATCTAAGAAATATGATATTTTAAAAGTCCAAATATAAGTTTATTAAATGATGAGCACTGTAGCATTGTTTAAGTCTAATTGGTTTTCAATTAAGAATTTCCAATTTTCAGTCTCGATATTTTCAATCTCAGATATGTTTGTAGACATAATACTTAGGAATGATACCCATTCATGCAGTTTACTCAGTTTATTTTTCTATTTGATAAAAATCCAATACATGTAAGTCATTAAGAACATTAAAGAAAAATAGAACTATTTCAGTATTCTTACCTTGGACCCTGACAACATACTGGTCAACATTTTTGTTCCACTTCCAATTCCAACAACTACAAATCAAAGAAAGAAATATTATGACACTCTGTTCTGAAAACTAGGTTTTTAAAATAGCTATATATTTTGGTCATAATTTCCCGGTTTAGGTAACGTGAAGTGGGAAAGAGCATATATTTAGCAAAATTTCAGGGCTCCTATTACTCCAAACAGTTGAACCTGTCATGCAAATAAGAAACTCTAAAGAAGGGATGAGAAGACCTTTCTCCCCATTCTCAAAGCATTAAACTCAGTAGAAACCTCAACCCAGCCCATTAGATAATGAAGCCTTAGAACAATCTCAAAGGACACACTGGAATTTTATATGGGCACCAGTAAAAAACACATGGCACAATTAACCATGTTCAAGTGGGTATGATAAAGTCTTTTGACAGAATTCATTATTAAACAAAGCAAAAGTCATTATCATAGCTAATGAACCATTTAAAGATGATTAGCACCCAGCAGTATATACAATCAAGAAAAAAGAAACATAACAACTCAGTCTAACACAAAGAAGAATACAAGGTAAAATGAAGGCTGAAGAATGTATTTTAACAGAGACCAAATATAAAGTACAACAATGGCCTACCTTTCTCTTAAATTTCAAACATTATTCATACGACAACACATTTCACTCGGTGAGGGTGAGAGGATTTAGTCACTTCTCTTTTTGTAAGAAGCTACATTTTTGTAAGAATTGAAATATTTGTCATCAACAGATACAATGTGCATAAGAACACAACACAACCACCACAATTCAGAATTATAAAAGCAAACAAGGAGCACTGATTGGCAAACTGGAAAAAATATCTTCAATATTTACGGCAAACATCATTCAGTGAGTTTACCATGTATCAGATTCTACTCGAAATGCTCTCCTTTCATTATTCCATTTAATCCTTATAACAACTTTAAAAGGCTAGGCATGGTGGCTCACACCTGTAATCCTAGCACTTTGGGAGGTTGAGGAGGGCAGATCACCTGAGGTCAGGAGTTCGAGACCAGCCTGACAAACATGGAGAAAGCCCATCTCTACTGAAAATACAAAATTAGCCGGGTATGGTGGCGCACGCCTGTAATCCCAAATACTCAGGAGGCTAAGGCAGGAGAATCGCTTGAACCCAGGAGGCGGAGGTTGCGGTGAGCCAAGATCGTACCATTGTACTCCACTGCACTCCAGCCTGGGAGACAAGAGCAAAACTCCATCTAAAAAAAAAAAAAACTTTTAAAGATGGTATAATTACCCCTGTTGATAGATGAGATAGATGAGGAAATAGGAATAAGAGACTAAGAACTTTGTCCAGCATCTCACAACCAGTACCTGGTAGAGTTAAGATTCAAACCAAATGGTCTAAGAGCTGACCCCCTTCCTTTCCATTCCCTCTGCCACCTTAACTCACCTAGGTTTTCTTTTCACTGCCAACAGCCTACATCACTGCAAACCTGACAGTTCTATATCCTATCCCTTTCTCTTCCAATTCATACCACTTCTTAACCATTTCTGAAACCCTATTTTTCACATTACAAAGCCCCCCAAACAATCCTTAGTAGGGTCCCAGTGCCTACAGTACCAACTCCTTATTAAAGTATTCAAAGTCAATCCTTTGAAGCCCAGCTCAAGCCCCAACTCATTCATAAAGTCTATTCCAACCCCCTCAAAACTTCTATGGCACTCATCTGTATTGATCCAAGTCATATAGTTCAAGGTCTAAGATCAAAACAGTCTGCCCTCAGTAATCCTCTGAAGAGCATAATACACTTCAAATGACAGAACTTGTAGATACTACTGCTGATGAGGCAAACAGGAAAGATTCAATGCAATTTGATTCCAATCAAATAAATCCCCAAACAATATTCTTTTGAACAACTACTATAAACATAATCCCAAGAGGAATACTTCCAATGGAAAAGCAAAGAAACTTGTGACACATTTCCTAACTTCAAAACAGCTTATAATCTCATCAGGAAAATAAAATACAGAAAAATACAGTGCTCAAGAAATGTTGCCTAATGAATGAAAAATGCTAAATAACAATATAATAGTATATGATTAAGTGTCAAAATGAACAGAGAGAGAACAGCTGCCATAGCAAGGCAAAGGTGGGAGCATTCTAAATGACTAAAGAGGCCAGAGAACGCTTCATTCAAGCATTTCAGAGTTTGTATTAGGCCTTTGAAGGATGTACAGGGAACACAACAGAGAGAAGAGAAGCATGTTTTAAAAAAGAAAATAATTGCACAAACTCTCAGATACAAGGATGAGAACAGTGGGTTTATCAACTGAACACAGGGTATCTTAGAAGCAGGCTGACACGTTTGACTTTAACATGGTTGAAATCCTGAACTCATGATGGTTTCTGAGCTAGTTTAGTGACCCAGAAGGATGAAATTTAAAAGAAGGCATCTTAGAGTTACCCAGCTTAATCCTCTCATTTTATACCTAAGAATAACCAAGTGCCACTGAAGTGAGGTGATTAGTGAAAGCAGAATTTTAGGAAGACTAATATGGTGGTGGCATATAGAAAAATTATCTGGAGTTGGGACCTAGCCAACCAGCAGCTTTTCATTCACAGGTTAGTTTCCCGGACAGAATTTTTACTTAGCATGTTTTGCCTTCAATCACTCAAAATTGTATTTAGTACTTATTGTGTAGGTGCAGAAATAAATAAGACCTGGCTTCAGCTGTGATTTAACAATCTAATAGAGAGACAGATATTAACAAAAACCAGGAGAACAAAATGAAATTTTACATTAGTAGTATAGAAGAGCAAGCAGGCAGGCTTCAAAGGTAGGAAATGGCATTTCAGCTGAACCTGGAAAGGCCAGTAGGACTTCTACAACCAAAGGTGCTGAGAGAGATGAGCAGCTTATAAAAGAAAAACATGAGCAAAGGCACCACATTTGAAAAGGTGTGGAGAATTTAGAGAGTGGATGAATGACAGGGTTTTCCATGCACTGTTGCACAATCACTGCTCTCCTACTCTATCTCCCAAGTGTTCTGTGCTCACTCAAATGTCTTCTCTGTTAAAAAACAAAAACAAAAACAACTATCTCCAAACTTATCCAATGTCCTAGTATCCTATTCTCAAATCAAAAAGACAGAACTTGTTTATGACGAGAGTCTCTCTAGGCCAGGCATGGACTCCATACATGTGTTTCCAGCTTTCTATAGGATCATCTTACAAGGCTCGTATCTTTCCAATTGTAGGAATCTATTTTAAGAATCTGAAACACCTGGCTGATACAGATGTGTGGGTAAAAAATAAAAACTAAAAACAAAACAAACAAAAAGTTCTATCTAGAAAGACATCCCTCACAAAATCAGTTCTGATAAAACTCTGGTAATAACCTCAGGGACCTCAAATAGGGAAATGATTAACAAATTGTATTTTAGCCATATGATGGAACATTTTATAGCCATTAAAAATAAAGTTTACAAAGAGCTTATCAACATGAACAATGTCTATGTTACAATGTTAAGTTTAAAAAATGGATATATAAGTACACACAGTGAAGTAGAGCTCAACTTTAAAAATCGCATAGACAAAAAGCTACAAGGAAATATGGCAAAAACGTTAACTGACTATTGATGAAAGGTGGAAAACGGATAATTTTTTATTTTCAACTTTCTTGTATTTTCGAAATTTTCCCACTGTTTGTATAACCTCTAAAATTTAAAAACATCATTTTTGAAATGGTATATAGAAATTTTATTTACATTTTAAGTGATTTATGATAAACAGGTGTATTCCTTTCCTATTGCTACTGTAACAAATTACCAATCTGGCTTAAAACAATACAAACTTTTTCTCATACAGTTGCGGAGGTCAGAAGCCTGAAATGGGTTTAACTAGGCTTAAAATCAAAGGGTTGGCTTGGCTGTGTTCTTCTCTGGAGGTGCTAGGGGAGAATCCTTCACTAGAGCCCCCCTAGAGGACCCATTTTTTTGCTTGCCTGCCTCCTCCAGCTTTTAGAGGCTGCCCCCATTCTTTGGCTTGTGATCCCCTTCACTCTTCAAAGCCAGCAACCCACATTACTCCAACCTCTGCCTCCACTGCCACATCTCCTCTGACTCTCTCTTCTGCCTCCTCTTCCACTTTTAAAGAATATTATGATTACATTGGGTCTACTTGGAAATTTCAGGATAATCTATCTTAAAGTCAGCTGATTAGCAACATCAATTCCATCTACAACCCTAATGCTCCTTGTGATGTAACCTAATATATTCACAGGTTATGAAAATTAGGACACGGACACCTTTAGAGGGCCATATTTTGCCTACCATTTTTTTTTTGAGACGGAGTCTCACTCTGTCGCCCAGACTGGAGTACAGTGGCGCCATCTCGCTCACTGCAAGCTCCGCCTCCCGGGTTCACGCCATTCTCCTGCGTCAGCCTCCCGAGTAGCTGGGACTACCGGTGCCTGCCACTGCGCCCGGCTAAGTTTTTGTATATTTAGTGGAGACGGGGTTTCACCGTGTTAACCAGGATGGTCTTGATCTCCTGACCTCGTGATCCACCCGCCTCGGCCTCCCAAAGTGCTGGGATTAGAGCCACTGCGCCCGGCCTGCCTACCATGTATTTTTGAGAAACTTGTGAACCCTCTAGCAATCATGCTATAGAATTATAAACCTGAATTACAGGTTATAATCTTAAATTGTCAGCTAAATTCTTAACTGCATCATTAATATTGCAAAAAAAAATGTTGAAAGAAAAAGTGTATTTTTTTTTGCACAGGTCCAGTTTTAGTTTGTTTTCTTTTGTTTGTTTGTTTTCAAAAAAGACCTTTTGGCGGGGCATGGTGGCTCACCATGCACTTTGGGAGGCTGAGGTGGGCAGATCACTTGAGATCAGGAGTTCAAGACCACCCTGGTCAACATGGTGAAACCCTGACTCTACTAAAAATACAAAAATCAGCTGGGCGTGGTGGCAGTCACCTATAATCCCAGCTAGTCAGGGATTGGGAGTTGCATTTGGGAGGCGGAGGTTGCAGTGAGCCGAGATCACGCCACTGCACTCAAGCCTGGACAACAGAGCAAGATTCCATCTCAAAAAAATAAATAAATAAAAATTAAAAAGACCTGTATACAACACTTCACAGGATAAAGTATATATCTATATACTATAGGTATTTTGTAAGATATTTTTGAAAACCTTTTGACTCAGTTTTGGTAGACATTATCCTCTTTTAGAGATGAAGAAACATTCAGTGAAGTTATGGGATTTTCTTAGGGTGTATATAGTTAGTAATTAAAGCAGCCAGTAGCCAGTGTACAAACCGAAGTATGATTAGAGTCCAGTGTTTGTTTTACCACACAATCAAAAATCGTCTTCTCATAAGTTTCCAGAACTGCTAACTTGGACAACAAACATCCCTTACTCTGTGACTACACACCAACAATTTTTAAAACTTTCTCTCTCCTTGGAAATCACATGCATTAGAAGAAAAATTAATACATCTGACATATGAACATATTATATCATCATAAAAGTCCTTGTGTGATCAAATATAAATTAAGCCTCCAACCAGAAAACTGTTTCCAATACAGTTTCTTCCACACATACAAATCTCAGCCCCTTCATAATACTAAAATGGAAGCTTCAACAAGATCCCTTAGGCCAAGGGTGTCTAATCTTTTGGCTTCCCTGGGCCACAATGAAAGAATTATTATCTTGGGCCACACACGTAATATACTAACAACAGCTGATGAGTTTAAAAAAAAAAAATCACCAAACAATCTCATGATGTTTTAAGAAAGTTTACAAATTTGTGTTGGGCTGCATTCAAAGCCCCCCTAGGCCACATGCAGCCCGCAGGCCAAAGGTTGGACAAGCTTGCCTTAGGTTTAGGGTAAAAAATAAACTTTCATTCACTGCCTTGAATATGACTATTTTCTGCATGCCAATGAAGAACTGCCACTAGAAATTAATAGAATTGATCTATTCATAAATAAGCAACAGATCTTATCCTCTCTTTTCTTGTATTTGTGGTGCTATGCCTGGAAAACAGTAAAGCAGAAGGGTTAGGAACATAGGCTTCAACTCAAAGGCCAACTCTAATCAACTGGTACAGGCTACTGAAGTGCTAAGCTGATAAGAATCATGAAGCCCCAATTTCTGCCAAGAGCACAGGGCATGAGGAACAAAAGCAGGAGCGCCAGGTATCTGCCATCCACAATAGGGCAGATGCTTTGGAACTGAGCAGATCTGGCTCAAATCCTGACTTTGTCACTCACTAATTCTGACAGTGAACATGTTACTTTATCTCTCAGGGTCTTCCTTTCTTCTTCTGTAAAATGGGGATAGTAATAACTTCTCTTATAGGTTACAATGAGAATTAAACTATAGAACTTACGAATGCCCAAAACTGAAGACCTTATATACAGTAAGTGCTCAATAAATGCTTATTATTAGCTGGGGTTTTTGTTTTGTTATGCTTGTTTTTTTGGAGTGCAGTGGTGCAATCACAGATCACTGCAGCCTCAACTTCCCAGGTTCCAGTGATACTCCCACCTCAGCCTCCCAAGTAGCTGGGCCTATAGGTATGTGTCACCACACCCAGTTAATTTTTAAATTTTTTATAGAGACAGGGTTTCACCATATTGTCTAAGCTGGTCTCGGACTCTTGGGCTCAAGCAATCCACCCACCTCGGCCTCCCAAATTTCTAGGATTATAGGCATGAGTCACTGTGCCCAGCCTGATTTTTTCTATTTTGTTTGTTTATTTATTCATTTATTTATTGAGACGGAGTTTCGCTCTTGTCGCCCAGGCTGGAGTGCAATGGCGGGATCTCAGATCACTGCAACCTCCACCTCCTGGGTTCACGTGATTCTCCTGCCTCAGCCTCCCAAGTAGCTGGCATTACAGGCACATGCCACCACACCAGGCTACATTTTGTATTTTTAGTAGAGACAGGGTCTCACCATATTGGTCAGGTTGGTCTCGAACTGATTTTTTCTATTTTAACCTCAAGTAAAAATATTACTGCCAACATAAACCTATAATTTTAGAAAATACAAAAATCATACAGTTTATAATGTTCTTGAAGCATACCATTTTCTTCACCAATTTTATCCTTTTAAATAAGCACTCATTTACTTTGGATAGCTTAGATCAAGGTTTGCTGTTGTTCCTTTGTACCTAATTTTTGCTGTAAATGAAACTGAATAAAATATAAAATACCAGAGCATGTAAAAAGATGAGTATTGTTCCATAAAAGTTTGTTTCTCGTATGTGAGGAAGGGGGCACTGAGAGGGATCCCAATGTATGCAGGTAGTTTTGTGACTAAGGATGCAGTTACAGAGTAAAATATACCCTAGCCTGTGTATAACACACTTGCACTTCAGAATCTCCACCAGGGGCAAAAAACAAAAAACAAAAAACAGATGGAATAAAAAAGGATAAAATATTTTTATTCCCTTTGATCAATTCTACTAATTTTCCTTCACAAGCAATAAAATAGTCAACTAATATATCTCTAGCAGAAAATGACTTCCTCTCAAGCTTCCCCTTCTCAAGAGAGTTGATTTCAGAGATTAGATTAGAGATAGGCAGACAAACAGAGCCTTCTACCTTGTCAAGAGTCCCCAAGATCAGCCCACATTCAAAGATTGATATATAGCTCAGATTTTTTACAGTGTTGTAGTAAGAATACACAGTTGGACCATAAGAGATAAAGACACAGAGAAATCTGGGCACAAGCTTCCTTATCCTCTCCCCCTCCTGTGAGAGGATGCTCGAGCGTGCTGCTTTCTCTAACAAAAAAAGCGGTAACACGTGTGCAATGTTTCGCTCAGGGAAGCTCATTAGAAACTCAGTGCCCAAAGCTGTGTTTTGTTTTGTTTTGAGATAGAGTCTCCATCTGTCACCCAGGCTGAAGTGCAGTGGTATGATCTCAGCTCACTGCAACCTCCGCCTCCCAGGTTCAAGCGATTCTCCTGCCTCAGCCTACCAAGTAGCTGGGATTACAGGCACATGCCACCACACCTGACTAATTTTCATATTTTTAGTAGAGACAGGGTTTCACTATGTCAGTCAGGCTGGTCTCAAATTCCTGACCTCGTGATCCGCCTGCCTCAGCCTCCCAAAGTGCTGGGATTACAGGCGTGAGCCACCATGCCTGACCCCAGTGCCCACAGGTTTTACTGGGGACTTGAGAGGATGATCACTCAGGCACTCTCTGCCTTAGCAGTGGAGTAAAATTCCAGATTCCTAGAAGGAAAGCTGGTGTTCCCAGAAACATCTGAGGCACAGCCAACCAGCCTTATCAGACAGAGAAGGGTGGGAACACTCCTAAAATCCAAGTTCCCAGATACCAGCCAAGGGCAAGCTGTGCAAGCAGACCTTTCTAAAGATAGTAATTTCAGGCCTGCTATGTTAACTCTTTTCTGCACAGAGAAAAACCTTTTTTCAAAGTCCCATCCACACATAAAAGTAGCTATTTCTAACAGCCTTGTAGGCCTTGTACGATTTAAAGGCTTCTTTAAAAGATGGCACTATATATATCCAGTAGATCTGAAACATTCCAAAGTATAGTGAAAAATAGAAGGCTTTAGTCAATCTATCTGTTCTCAACCAGTGTTTCTTTCTGATATTAAGTGACAGTGGACACTTAATTTCCTTTCATATCTCTTACCCAGAACTCCTCGGGCTGCGCTGTCTAGAGTCCCTCCATGCCCAATTTTCAAAGTCTGCTTTTTCCTCTTGGTCCATTCTGGAGAAGGCATTCCAGCTTCTACGAGAGTAATGGGGATGAAAAAAAGGTGATTACCACGACAAATTAAGTAGGATTTCCATAAACTTGGGAGGAAGAGGGAATGGCATCTTCAAAACAAATAAAAAGTATTATACAAACTTCACATGTTAAGAGACTATGACCTCGTTACTAGTAAAGAAAAGATTTTAAAATGTATATTCCCTAAATTATAAAGAAAGAGTATTCCAAAATTAGCTATCAAGACACTAGAATTCATTCTCTAAGAGAAAAATGGCATTTTTAAAAGGTGGGTAAATATCCAAACCAACCTGCAAAAATCTAGTAAATTCTTGGTAGTGGTGGGCTCTTAGAGAATCATGAAAAGAAGTTAATTTTTATATACAAAGATACTTTTAAAAGTCCTCAATTTCCATTTTTAAATCTCTTCCATGGTCTTTGCTGGTATCTCTAGCTACCTAACACTGGGAGTACATCTCATGCAGGACTATTTCTAAATACACCAAATTCCCAAACTCCCTGTATTCGCTGTCTCCTTGAAATTGAAAAACCAAAATTTTCAATTCATTAAAGAAATGAATCTCAACAAAACATTATGTGGAAAGCAGCTAAGATTAAGTTGCACTTTAACTTCCTAAGCATTTAGATCTTTAAAAAGAGGATGCCAGCCTGGCTTATCTCATATTCCTGTTGTAAATATAAAGTGAGCCAGGCACAGTGGTTCATGTCTGTAATCCCAGCACTTTGGGAGGCCGAGATGGATGGATCACTTGAACCCAGAAGTTCGAGACCAGCCTGGGCAACACAGGGAAACCCTGTCTCTATCCAAAATAAAATACAAAAATTAGCTGGGCATAGTGGTGTGCACCTATAGCCCTAGCTACTGGGGAGGCTTAGGGGAGAGGACTGTTTGAGCTCAGGAGGCAGAGGTTGCAGTAAGCCAAGACTGTGCCACTGTATTCCAGTCTGGGCAACAGAGTGAGATCCTATCCTATTTAAAAAAAATAAAAATAAGGCAAAATAATGTTACTTGAAAGTATTTTGGGGAGACAGGGCCAGTGCTTCCTTCTGGGTAAATATAAATTGTTTTGATGATGGCATATACCATATTGAGAGAGTATTGACTATTAGATGTCAAGTGAGAAAGAAAAGCAGGAACTGCTATATTGATCTATACCTGCCCCCAAGCCCATCAAACCTTCCTTACCAACACTGACGCAGAGTAGAAAGAAAATAAAGCAAAGAAAACGAAATGAGTGGACAGACAAGGGAGGAGGGAAATCAAAGCAACAATGGAAATGCAGAAGCCAGATTAAATGGCCAAAAGAATGCTGGGTGGCTCAGCCTCCCAAGAAAATTATCACTCTACTGAGTCAGAACCATGGTCTCTGGAACACCCTGGCATCATTCTCTAATTATGACATCACTGTACTTAGAAGGGTATGGCTGTCTGCTTTGACATAAACTTCAAAGGCCAGACCTCGGTTTCAAACCCTTGACCTGTCACTTGCAACCCATCATGGATCTCTCACCCACAAATTAACAGAAACCTTTTGGGGAACTCTTTGTATTTTCAACTTGACACCCCTTGGAGTAAGAAGGCCCCATAAATATACTATCTTCCCTTTGTGCCCAAATATACCTCCTTCTAACTTGCAGACATACTGCCTCTACTATATAAAGTGGGGAATTTGGTTCACCCCACTGAACTAAGTATTCGTGGATTTTTATTAAAGTATTTTCTAGCTATAAAATTCTGGTACACTTAGGGCTTTGAAGGATCCCAACAGACAAAGATTAGGGATTGCAGTATAACAGGAATCAACGCAAAGAAAGACAAGGAATGGTATTGGAGGACACAACCACTGACTGTGGTTGTCAAACACAGCTAACATTAGAATGTAGGTATCTTTAAGAACCTTCCCAAGGCCGAGCGTGGTGACTCACGCCTGTAATCCCAGCACTTTGGGAGGCTGAAGCGGGTGGATCACCTAAGGTCGTGAGTTCGAGACCAGCCTAACACAGAGAAACCCCATTTCTACTAAAAATACAAAATTAGCCAGAGTTGATGGTGCATGCCTGTAATCCCAGCTACTTGAGAGGCTGAGGCAGGAGAATCACTTGAACCCAGGAGGTGGAGGTTGCAGTGAGCCGAGATCGCGCCATTGCACTCCAGCCTGGCCAACAAGAGCGAAACTCTGTCTCAAATACTTCCCAAGTAATTCTGACAGCCAGTTATAACGACATCTGGAAAGCCATAGCCTAACTAACATAAATACAGAATAGGCCAATCACAAACAATATAGAAATCAAGGATAATGAGAATGTCTCTAGCTAAAGATTCTAGCCTAGCAACAGCCTTGAAACAATCATTTTAACCAAGATTCAACAAGAAAATTCAGTTCTTAGAGAGATTAGCCAGAAGGCCAGAATATGGCTTTGTCAGAAACTTGTCTGAAAGAATGGTAATCATTACCTTAAGGATAACAAAAAAAGAAAACCAGAGTTTAGTTAACAAATCAGGAAAGCAGCAGTTCTATACAGGAAAACTAAAAAACTATGATGACACCACAATACATATCCTTGATGCAATTCCTTACTTTGACGTCCTCTGAATGAGTCATCCTTTCAGGCAACAAAGCAAAACTTTAATAAAAGAATGAGTAGTCGTGATACTGGAATTAAACATCTGCAGGAGCGTGCCTATTTGCCCATAAACATTTAAATCTGTACTGTCAGTTATAATTCCCATTAGAATAATTTATTTTTGCATTTTTTTTAAGTGTAAAGTTTTCCATGGGACACTAAACAATGTAAGAAAGTCCCTGTACTGGTTTAATGGCGAGACAGAATACGGCCCAACTCTGGAGAACCTTGAATAACCTAGCTAACTAGTTTTACCACCACAGGGTGCAGAAATCACTAGGCTGTCAGCTCAGTTAAGGTAAGAGACAGTATCTTTTATCTTCAAGTCTCTATAGGCTAGCACAGACCTGGTTTAGTGTATATGTCCAACGAACTTAAGGATCCTAGATGCTTTATGTGTGAAATCATCCGAGCTGATTAAGGGGGTGATTCTTTAGGCTCTTCTAGTATTTTCCCAGTATACGTGAATAAACGAATCAATAAAAAGAACACTCTCAGCTTAGTGACCAAGTTATATTTAGTGTTCCTCAAACGTGGTCCATAAACCACTTACACTGGAATCACCTGGAGCAACTATTTAGAATTGCAGTTTCCTAAAAATACCCTGAACCATCCGAATCACAATCTCGGACAGGGCAGGGATTAGGAATCTGTATTTGTAAAAGAGACTCTAAGTAATTGTTAGGCCCACTAAAATATGAAAACGACTTTATTAAGTCTTGGTTAACGAAGTATATCTGCATTTCCAATACATTCTAAGGAATGCAACTTTGGGGGTAAGTGCCAGTACTTCCTTTTGGGGTTCATCCACATGAACCCAACAAAAGCCTCCTGAGGGATCAGATTACAGAAAATAGGTCTGCACGCCCAAGGGCAGGGTTTTATTGTGTAAGTATGGGTTTTTTTCTCCCACTGAGAACTACAACTGCCAAGTAGGCTACAAGAGTTCGTGCCAGGGCAAGTCCAAGCCCGAGATGCCCGAGATTTCTGTCCAGAGCTAATTCAATGGTCATTCTCCCTTTCCCTTCCTTTTGTCTCTTGAATCACGAGCGTCGCAAAAAGCCTAATGTGCTTCCCCTCTCGTAGCGACCGCCTCAGCCTGGTCCCCACCCGGGCTGCAGTACCTGCCAGCAGCTTCTCCTTCAACCGATTCAGCAGCTCGGCTGAAGTGGGCCCTTTGGGCTTGTGCACGGCGAACACGCCGCTCAGGGACAGCAGCTTGGTAGCCAAAGCGGCCTTAGAGACCCTGGCTTCGGATCCGGTCCTGGCCGCGGCCGCAACCACCGCGGCTGCAGCCCTTGCTGGCGGGTTCGCAGCCATTGCTGCGACCGTTCCTGCAGTTTCAAGGACAGGGCATGTGTCTGTTTTCAAAGACGACGAAGACATAACCGCCGCCTCAGAAGCGGCCATACTTTTGTAGTCCAAACCTGTTTCATGGTGGAGGCGCACGCTGATGATGCAACAAGAGTGCGCCTGACAGGACCCTCTTTCTCATACCGCGAAGCTGCGCAGAACGGAGAGGTCACAAGGGCTTGTGGGAATTGTAGTCCATGACCTTCCCATACCGACCAAGAGCCTGCTGTGCCCTTGTGTTTTAAATAGAAAGTTTTAAATGTTGAGTTTTCCTGGGGCTTGTGAAGATCCATGGCTTCCTGGGCTCACTGCTTCATTGACTGTATTGTGCTCTTGCATTCAGGTTCAGAATTAGAAGACATCCAAATGTGAGCTCTATTGGAGCGAGGAACTTACGTACCACGTTTGCCGAGACATCCTAGATGCCTCACACGTTGTAGGCACTTAAATAAATATTTGAAAACGTATAAATAAGTATGAATTCTTCAAATTTTCCGAAGAAACCAAGCCAATGGTAAATCACTTGGGCTTATTTTGATGCTCTTCATGCACTCCTGTTTGCCGCCCTCCAAGCCCCCACTGCCTCCACTACAATTTTTAATAATTCCGATTTTGAATACCAGCTTTTCTGTAGGTTGCATTCCTTAGTACACATTGCTTAGATATCAAAAGGCATTCTTGCAATTCGTAAACTTTAAACTACTTTCTATTTGAGACCTTCTCCCTAAAAGTTATTCACTCCTCAACAAGACTGAGGAATATTGTTTTGATCCCAGCATAAGGCAGAGTGGAGAAAAATTACTTTTGCACCAGATGCATTAAATGCTATCATAAGTATTGTGAGACAGATAAAGTTTGTCCTCATTGTTTTTTAGGTTTCTTTACAGTCACTCTTTCTCCTCATCATACTCTTGGACTTTAACATCTGGTATTTTAATGATGCCCCTTAGCTGCTCACAATCACCAGTTATGGGATCCCATTTGAACTTGCACCCATTCCTACAACAAACACATGGCAGAACAATTTATTAAAAGGAAAAAAAAAATTTGAGGGAGTTTTTTCAGGGCGGAAAGCTGTAACTCCTAGAAGGAAGTCACCTACTCTTGTGGTCTATAATAAAAGCCTAAGCTAACTGAAAAGATTGGCATATCAAAAGATTAGTGGACACCTGGCCCTGCTTCAAGATGTTCATTTTTCCAGGAAGATGTCATGACTTCAGAAGGGATGACTGCACCCCAAGGAGCATGGTGTCCTTTAGCCTCAGAAAAGAGTTCTCTGTTCTTGTGGCATGGAAGCAGAGAGCCAGGGACTTGCAGGAAAGGTTGCAAGGCTTGACCAATGACGACTTGGAGATTAGAGGCCTTTTCCCAATTGTCCAGACATCAGCAAGCCTCCCTATTTCTATTGTGGCTCTAGGGGTGAAGGATGCAGAGGGAGAGCAGAACTAGGGGTGACAAATGATGCTTATATTCGAATTTTCCATCAACCCAGTGTAGGACCAGAGTTAATTTGATTTAAACAAAATGAAGAAATTGATATTTCTTGCACGTTTGATTTCTAGGATGCTAGGACACAACCAAATTAATTCTACTCTGCTATCATATCGGCATTATTGGGATCAGAAGCACCAAGTTTTGTTTTTCTAAGGTAACCAACATCTCCCACATTGGGCAGGCCTTGAATTCACATGTTTTCTTGCTCCAATACAAGTATGAGTTTGGGCTTTTTGGTTAGAAGCAACAGAAAACTGATTCATACCAGCTTGGGGGGCACGGGGGAGATTATTTATCAGAAATACACTGGTACACTATTCAGAATCTAGAAAGTTCTCTGTCTCTGGCTGCACATCCTTCTTTTATGCTAATCACTTGTGTCTTTTTTTTTTTTTTTTTTTTTTGAGACAGAGTTTCACTCTTGCTGCCCAGGCTGGAGTGCAGTGGCGCAATCTCAGCTCCCCACAACTCCTGGGTTCGAGGGATTCTCCTGCCTCAGCCTCCTGAGTAGCTGGGATTACAGGCATGTGGCACCACACCCAGTGCATTTTTAGTAGAGACAGGGTTTCTCCATGTTGGTCAATCTGGTCATGAACTCCTGACCTCAGGTGGTCCCCCTGCCTCAGCCTCCCAAAGTGCTGGGATTACAGGCACGAGCCATCGCGCCAGGTCCACTTGTGTCTTTATTCCTCTTTCCTTCTTCTAATAGGCCTTTTATTGTAACTCTTCATTCCACATCCTTGTTTTAAACCATCCTATTTTGATCCAATTCCAAAAACCATCTGGATGAAGTCACTCCTGACCACCTGTAGAACATAATACCTCATTCTTTCTATCCCTCTACCATGACACTTTCCTAGCTAACTTTCTGGCTTTATTTTTTCCCATGGCACATCTCACCTGACATACCATGAATATGATCTGGATGTTGGTTCCCTCCAAATCTCATGTTGAAATGTGATTCCCAGTGTTGGAGGTTGGGCCTGGTGGTAGGTGATTGGATCATGCGAGTGGACCCCTCATGAAAGGTTTAGCACCATCCCCTGGGTGACAAATGAGTTCTCACTCAGTTAGTTCATGTGAGAGCTGGTTGTTTAAGAGTCTGGGACCTGCCTGCTGTTGCTCTCTTGCTCCCACTCTCGGCCATATGATGTGCCTGCTCCCCATTCACCTGCTATGACTGGAAGCTTCCTGAGGCCCTCACCAGAATTAGATGCCCACACCATGCTTCCTCCACAACCTGCAGAACTGTGAGCCAATTAAGCTTCTTTTCTTTATAAATTACCCAGTCTCAGATATTCCTTTAGAGTAACATAGATGGACTAATTTATACCACATATTTTACTAATTTTGTTTAATGTCCGATGCCCTCTATCAGAATATCAGCTTCATGCGGACAGGAATATTGTATTCATTGCTATATCTCCAAGGCCTAGAATAGTGTCAGACATAGCACTCAATAAATACTGGGTTGTTTTGTTTTATTTTGTTTTGTTTTGAGACGGAGTTTCATTCTTGTTGCCCAGGCTGGAGTGCAATGGCACAATCTCTGCTCACTGCAACCTCTGCTTCCCAAGTTCAAGTGATTATCCTGCCTCAGCCTCCCAAGTAGCTGGAATTACAGGTGCCTGCCACCACACCTGGCTAATTTTTTTGTATTTTTAGTAGAGACGGGGTTTCACCATGTTGGCACAGGCTTGAACTCCTGACCTCAGATGATCCGCCTGCCTCGGCATCCCAAAGTACTGAGATTACAGACATGACCCACTGCACCCAGCCAATAAATGCTGTTGAATGAATGAATGAATGAATGAATGAATGAAACTTCTATAAAGGCTGGTGTGATGGTTAATACTGAGTGTCAACTTGCTTGGATTGAAGGATGCAAAGTATCACTCCTGGGTGTTGCCAAAGGAGATTAACATTTGAGTCAGTGGACTGGGAGAAACTGACCCACCCTCCATCTGGGTGGGCCCTACCTAATCAGCTGCCACCACAGCTAGAATAAAGCAGGCAGAAGATGGAAGAGCAGACTCGCTGAGTCTTCCAGCCTTCATCTTTCTCCTGTGCTGGATGCCTCCTGCCCTCAAACATCACACTCTATGTTCCTTGGCTTTTGGACTCTTGGGCTTACACCAGTGGTTTTCCAGGGGTTCTCAGATCTTCGGCCACAGACTGAAGGCTCCACTGTCGGCTTTTGAAGTTTTAGGACTCAGACTGGCTTCCTTGCTTCTCAGCCAAGCAGACAGCCTGTTATGGGACTTCACCTTGTGATCCTGTGAGTTAATACTCCTTAATAAACTCCCCTTCATATATGTCTACCCTATTAGTTCTGTCCCTTGAAAGAACTCTGACTGAAACAGCGAGTTAGTGCCTGTTCCCTGAAACGTGGAGTGCTGAACACATAAAATAATAGATGTAAGTCACAAGTGTAGCTTACCACACCTGACTTCAAATTCCATTATCTCATTTTACAAGTATGGAACAGAGGTAAAGAGAATAAAATCACCTAAAGTCATATAATAAGACTCCACCTTTCTAGACCAGCTTCCATGCTGCCTTCAACCACCCATGTACCTCAAAGATTCATTAATTAATAAGATTCAAAAATTAGGGACTCCAAATTTGTCACTAGCTCCCCCATGGCTGCATTCCTGGGGCACTTCTCTGATCGCTGTCACAGGCATGTATGCCTGGGAAAGCTGGTCTTCACAAAGGCTTGTTCAAATGTTGTTCACCTCTGCAACTTTCTGTGGATGGTAGAATCAGAGAAAGTAGCAATGATGAGTGCTTTTAGACCACATAGTCCAAGTCCTTCATTTAAAAAATGAAGTACAGGCTGGGTGCAGTGGCTCACCCCTGTAATCCCAGCACTTTGGGAGGCCGAGGTGGGTGAATCACAAGGTCAGGAGATCCAGACTATCCTGGTGAACATGGTGAAACCCTATCTGTACTAAAAATTAAAAAAAATTAGCCGGGCATGAAGGTGGGCACCAGTAGTCCCAGCTATTCGAGAGGCTAAGGCAGGAGAATGGCATGAACCCGGGGGCAGAGCTTGCAGTGAGCTGAGATCGCACCACTGCACTCCAGCCTGGGCAATGGAGCAAGACTCCATCTCAAAAAAAAAGGAAAAAAAAAAAAAGCACAAAAAGGTATTCCTAAAAACCAGGGAGAGAAAGCTGAGTATGCTCAAACCTGTGCGTAGACTTGAGAAAAACATAGTTTTAAAGTCCAGAGAAAAGGATGAACATGTTCCATCTTTTCAGGATTTCCATAATGAAATTTGAGAGAGCTGGAACGCTTTTAAAAATATCTTCTGTTATGCAATTGAAAATTCTCCTAACAGGGAAGAAAATGGTAAGGTAATTAAAGAAACCAGTGGCTGATTGCACAAGAACTCTGCTATGAACTGAAGAGTCTAAAGGAAATATGATATCTTTAGAAACAGGCATCTAGAAAATTTTACTTTCTAAGGTACAAATATCTGTAATGTTTAGATTTTGACCATACATTCCTTCTGTAATTAGGAAAAATAATAGCAACAAAATAAATCTTAAAATTAAGCAAAGAATGTGTTTTTATTTTTTTGAAAAAGGAAGGGTAGATTAAAAAAAAAAAAACACTAATACTAGGACTCATCACAAACATGTAGGAGTAAGGCCAGAAAAGCTGACATCCAATTGATCTGAGAATAGGAAAACATTCCAGAGATAGTAGAATAAAACAAAACTGAACTTTTAAAAAAGATAGAAAAAGAGATAGATTTACTGCTTAAGGCCAGTAAGATAAAGATGATGGAAGACAAATGCCAAGCAAAGCTCTGACTTTTCCTGTACTCTTCATCAAAGAGAACAGTTTTTGGATAGAAATGGAAAAAGCAAACAATTAATAAAAAGAGAATGGTGTCCATAAGGGTGAAAATATTGGAAGAGGACATC